TGTCGTTCAATCCTGTTCAGCATCAACGGACCAAGCATATTGAGATTGATGTGCACTTTGTCCGTGAACGCGTTGCTAAGAAGACACTCCTGGTTCAGTTTGTTTCTTCTCGGGAACAATTTGCCGATATACTAACTAAAGGCCTCAGTGCTCCTCTATTTCGATCTCATTGCTTTAACCTCATGCTTGGTTCCTCCAAGGCATGAGTTTGAGGGGGCATGTAAGGATATAGATAGTGGCTAGGATTATGCCATGTGTTAAAAAAGAGATTGTGAATGTTTAGTTAGTCAGTTAGAAAGGTAGTCTTTTATATAAATAGATCATTGTAATGGCTTAGAGGTTAAGAAAGATTAATACAACAAGTCTTTGCAGCTTCTCTCTCTAAACCTTACTCTCTCTCTCTCTAGTTCTTGAATCCTTATCTTCTCATTCGTTCTTCCTCTGTCTACATTAACACCCCACATAGACCCGCACTACATAGCAAGTAAGTACATAACCCATATCATATATGTGCAATTTTGTTCCATGTTGCAAGACTTGTCGTGTTCAAATTGAAGATACTAGTCTTCATGCGCGCATGCACTACATAGCAAGTAAGTACATAACCCATATCATATATGTGCAATTTTGTTCCATATTGCAAGACTTGTTGTGTTCAAATTGAATATACTAGCCTTCATGCGCATGCTCATGTGCGCATGAAGACATTTTTTGAATCACGGTGTGCTATGTGCGATTTACACGTTTTAAATGTATTATTATGCGTGTGCGAAAGACCTTTTTTCTTATAACCAGTGAGTGCGTGTAGAAGACATTTTTTGAATCACGCTGTGCTACGCGTGACTTACACGTTTTAAATGTATTATTATGTGCGTGCGAAAGACCTTTTTTATAACCAGTGAGCGCGTGCAGAAGGCATTTTTTGAATCACGGTGTGTTATGAACGACTTTCACGTTTTAAATGTATTATTATGCACGTGCGAAATACTTTTTTTTTATAACCAGCACTACATGCCTCTTAAGATATTTTGAACGTGTTTAAAAATAGAGAAAATAATATTTAATAAACAACAGATTGAATTACATTATTGCTAGCCCATTGTGAGGTACTAATTAAAAAATTTATATATTATGCGCGTGCGAAAGATTTTTTTTTTATAATAGGCACTACACACTTCTTAAGATATTTTGAACGTGTTTAAAAATAGAGAAAATAATATTTAATAAACAACTGATTAAATCATATTATTACTTGACACACCCCGACCGGAGTCGAGACGTGCTGGCCGTCAATTTGGTATCAGAGCCAATCCTTGGCTAGAAGTGTGCCGACGAGGACGTCGGGCCCCTAAGGGGGGTGGATTGTAACATCCCACATCGCCCAGGGGAGTGATCCTTAAATGTATATTCCCATCCCTACCTAGTATGAGGCATTTTGGGAGCTCACTGGCTTCGAGTTCCGTTGTAACTCCGAAGTTAAGTGAGAAGGAGGCCAGAGCACTCTCAAGATGGGTGACCTATTGGGAAGTTGCTTGTGAGTTCTCAAAAACAAAACCGTGAGGGAATGGTAAGCCCAAAGCGGACAATATTGTGCTACGGTGGTGGAACGGGCCCGGGATGTGGTGGTGGACCCAGGCCGAGATATGACATTACTAATCTATTGTGAGATACTAATTAAAAAAAATGTACAAAAAGAATTTAAAAACACTGTTTATATGACAAAATATCCCTGCATTATTTTTGATTGCTTTTGAACCTTTTTGTTTGGTGGGTATTTTTGTCCTAAAATCTTTGGTGAAGCCGGTGACTCAAAAAGGGCCTCTTGGCTTTGTATATATAAAGATATATAGATATAGATGAACGTCTTGCAAAAATGGCCAAAAATAGGTTAAATTTTGACTCCTAATAATACAAAAGTGTTTATAAGTAAGTAGCTACTTAATTTCATAATGCTACCCCAGTAAGGGCTCTCTAGTATTTTTTTTTTAAAACAAACGATATCATCTACACTAAGTGAGGGGGGTGGGCTTAGCCGCACAATGAGCTAGCAATAATGTGGTTTAAATTCTTTTTTTTTTTACGAGAATCGAACCTAAGACCTCTTATTTACAAATGAAAATGAATACTTTAGATCGCAATACTAAATGACCTTCTAGTATTAAGTATTAACTAATATAGTATCATATTACTTATTCCATGCAATCAAAATCATTTAAGGAGAGCGCGAGAAAGCGAACCAAAATTCAACTTATTCTCTCCCTCGACTAGCTAAGAGTGACTAAAACTGTTCAGACAGACAAAATGAGTTGCCATATAGCTAGTATCAAGGGCGGATCCACATCCATGGGGACGAATTCAGTGTTAGCTGGGTTGGAGGCTATAACCCAACAGAAAATTTTCCTTCACACCACCTTCATCACTGTAACTTCTCTAGCCTTTTTATATTGGAAGTTTTAACGAAACACTCCTGATACTGTTCACTTTTAACGAAAATAATATTTTTACTCTAAAAAGTCACTCATGATACTATTCACTTACAACATATTTTTGTCCCTTTGATTAAAATTACTCAAAATTTTCAAGTCATTTTCATTAGTTTTCCTTTTTATATTCCCTTAGCGCCCTAAACTTTAGCCCACCCAATTTTAAAATCCCGACAAATGATTTAGCTAGTCTGTTGAAGATGCTATCCATATGCTGAAACCACAGAGCAATAGCTGGATTCGGTTTGACAGGTTCCTTGTCAGTAGCAGGAAGAGTGGCGGCAGGGGCCAGTGTCGTGCCATCAACATAGGCAAATAAATTATGACCGAGAAGAAACGGCTTCATCTGACTAAGCCAAAAGAGGTAGTTGGAATCGGTGAGTTTCAAAAAGTGAGCAACGTTAGGACCGGAGAGAGACGTCCAGCGAGGGTAGAGGATGAAGAAGCTTGTGTAGCCATGGGGAATAAGGGGTAGGTAGGCACGGCAAAGGAAAAACAATTTGGGGAATACTAACTTAGAGGGGGACGGCAAATTGGGAAGAAAGAGGAAGGAGGCTAGGGTTGTACTCGGAAAAGGGAACCTAAAACTAGTAATACCACATAGAATAGTAATTCCATGATTTGATAACACAATATTACAAATATATACTAGCAGCCTACCATCCCAGCCGCCATCGGAGCACTTCCAACCCAGCAGCCTCCATCCCAGCACGAACCAACACCTCCAGGAGACGCTCCAAGCCACAAAATCGGAAAATAAGAAATCTTCAACATCCACTAACAGCCACAACAGAGATCTAAACCACAAAACAAAGGAAGCCAGTGGGAAATTACATCCCACGGGCAAAGGAGCCGAGAACGACAAACACAGGGAAGGTGGTGGTGTGGACACCCCAGCCAGTGAGAAATTAGTAACAATAATATTATGAAATATGTTATCAATTGAATTACATTGTTTTGAGCTGAGTTTAAGCTCTCATACAGGTTTATAAACAACAGTTCATTATCCGGAGTACTAAGCGTTGAACAATAAACAGACATCATTCAGAGAGCCTCCAATACTTGGCAACGATATTCTCCGAGGGCCCAAATTGGAAAAATGTTCCGGTAGGCTGAATAGCTGATCATACAGTTCTTGTTGAAGACACCAGTGATCTCCTGTATGGGAAGTAAACGTTATTGAGGTCATATAGCCTTCGTAAGTGGTAATCATAGTTACAAACTTCCTGCATGAGATTTACTCTCTAAGATCTTGGTTTCCAGTACATATATACTCAATGAAGAAAGCGGAGGTTCCACCGTAAAACTAATTGGTAATATGAGGAGTAGCCCAACAACTTATAAGCACATTCAAAGTCCTTTCTGTCCTCGATGTGTGATTAATACGTACTCTCAACACATCCCTCACGTGTGGCGAACCTTCAAGCCTAACACGTGGACAACACAAATCATGTGACGTGGAGCACGTGTGCCCGTAGATCTTCACACATGGACAACCTACTCTGATACCATGAATAAAGTTGAGGTTCCACCATAAAACCAATTGGAAATAGGAGGAGTAACCCAATTACTTATAAGCACATGCAAGGTCCCTCAATTGCCCGATGTGGGATGCATACTCTCAACACTTAAGATTGTTCAATTTGCCTATTTGAATAACACTAATTACTTATATTACTTGCTCCAAAAGCTATACATATATTTATAAGGTTTAATTACTCTGTGCAGCTTAGAAAAGTACTAAAGGTCTTTACACCTGCATTTCTCTCTGTACAGTTTTCTTATACATTGGCTAGATGTTTTGAAAATTGCAGTTGCCATGTCTGTAATCAAACCAAACCAAATGGATTTCCATGAAGACAGAAAAATCCATGTTAGCTTGAAATTGTAGATTGCACGGTCAAGAGGGTATAAAGACTTTTGTATGAAACATTATGGAAGGAGTTGCCAAGTTACCTTCTGAGGGAAATCTCCATTTTTCATTTGAGAATTGATTAGTACTCTAGCTGCCCAATGCAACGGAGTTGGGTCTCTCTTAGCCTTTCAAGGAGGAGAACATAACAAGAAATACAGGTAATAAAGTGAGCAACATATGGATGTCAAACGGTTATTTGTAAAAAGTTTCCAAAAATTCTGCAAATAAAGAATCCTCTAAATTCTAATTGACACCAAATTCGGTATCCGTGGAAGGATGAATTTGATAAATCACATGGAAAGGAGAATGAGTGATGAATTTGTTGTACCTGCCCAGCACCAATAAGGGCCAACATAGCCCATGCAGTATGAACTATATGTGGCCTATTGTCCTTGAGATTTGTTATACACCTGACATACAAACAGTCGGCATTAAGTTATGCAAGTCGAAAGTAGATCATACATTTTGCCAAATGTGTATGCGAATGAAAACCAAGAATTGAGTGAAGGATTTGTCATAATAGAAGAATAAAGTAAGCTCCGAGCCTATGAAAGACAACGAAGTATATTTTCAAATTTGAGGAATCATTAACCTTGTTCTGACATGATAGATAGCTTTCTCCCCATCCACCTGAAGGAAGCTCTTTGGATAACAAAAAGTCGCATGCTTTACGGATGCTTGAGCAGTCTTCGTATGTCCTTCCCGCAGCAACCAACCCCTTTATTCCAAACCACCCAGCATAGGTGAAGCATACTCCCCAGGAACCATACCTATACGACCAAAAACATACAGCCATCATACACCCAGACCACGCAGTGAAATATATGTATGCATGTATTTTTAATTGAAAGAAAAAACAAACCAAGATCCATCTGTTGCTTGTATCGTTTCAATGAACTTTGCAGCACGAGCAATGCAGTTTTCTATTTCATCACTCCTATGCGCAGGACATAACCTTTTGAACAATGCAAGTGCTTGAATTGCTGCTGAGGTGCATTCAACGTATCTGCATCCCCCGTTCCAATCAAGATGACTTCAGGCATTTTCCATGATATAGAATAAAATGTATAGAATTCAAAAGGTAGTGTACAGAAATCGTACGGATAATCAATGACGATGTCACCAAAAGTTTCGGCAGGGTTGATTAGCTGAAAATATAATACGAATAATCATATGCATATGATCTCACCATCATACATATAGAAGGAAGAAAACGGAAAAAAAAAAAAAAAAAAGCTCATAAATGATACTTACCTCTAACCACTGATACGATCTAGTTAGTTCATAAGTCGCAAAACCACCATCGTCATTCTGCGGTGCAGAACCCAAAGAATTAGGGAATTAGTTAAAGAATTGTAAAACGAAAATGCAAGAACATGTAAATATTCTGTCAAACTTGAGCTGCTGATTAGAATCATGACATGCTTGACAGAACTAAACAGGCATGTGTGCATATATCATATACAGAAATACTTGCATGTACAGTCTTTCTTTTATATTCTCATAACTATATATGCTACACTTTCTCCATAGCTTCCAATTTTTTGATGGACATTAGAGTAATATTTTTTACCGTAGTCTACAGATTACATAATAAAATGGTCAATTAAGCAGGGATATATTTTTCATTTCATATATGACGAGAGACAAGGAGGGTTCTCTTGAAAATATAGATTATAAAAAAGAATACGGGTTGCCACATTATGTCTGGTCAGATTCAACTCCCGTATAGCCAGTGATTACCTGTAAGGAAAGGGTAACATTTACAGCATCATAAAATCGCTTTATATCCAATGATTCACCAACTGTTTCTGTTGGAAGTTTCGATAGTAATAAGGCAGCCTGCACAAAGAAAAAATATTAAGAAAAATAATGTTTGCATGTGAAATGTTGAGTGTTCAAGCTACCTTCAGTCCTTCAGCTGTGCAGTCAGAGATAGGCCACCCATGATCTGCTGTTGAGAATGGCCAAGCACCTTTTGAAATGTGACGATACCAATAATCCAGATCTCCAGGACAATCTTCCACGACCTTCAAAGCAAAGTATTAGTCGAGCAACGATAGTTATCATAAATGTTGAATGATACAGTTCAATTTTCTGCCTATGAAAACCTGGGAATCTTTGATATACTGATGCGCTTTTCTTAAAGTAGGTCCATATTCTTCAACCAGGTTAGTTGATATAATTGCTTGAATGGCAAAAGAAGTATCCCATGCTTGACTTCCATTGTAGCCCTGCAGTAAGAGGAAAAATAACATTAAATTAGAAACAATCAGGTAAGAAAGAGGGAGTGTGGAAAGAGATAGGGAGGAACTTAAAATCTGTTTGAAACAATTTAATGCTATAACTGACCTGCATTTTCATGCCATCTTCAGCAATCCACAAATAATCAGGGATTCTCGGGAGATGCAATTTGAATGCTTCTGAGTTTGGATCCTCCGCCCAACAACAAAGCATATTTAACACCTACATCGTTTATGAAATAGACAATCAAGAATCACACAACTACTTGCCGAATCAATCTTTAAGCCAAAAATACATGTCAATTGCGCAATTCCAACGGCAAAATATGTATGAGATCTATTGCCAGACGATGATATGCATCAAATATATTCTGCATGCATACCTTGTTAACAGGCCCTATGCATATATACCGAGTATTTTCATCTTCATAATGAATATGCTGCATTACAGTCTTCAAAGCACTGTCCCTCAATTCTTTTGCAGGCCAACGTGTGAAAACAGGTTCATAAACATAGTGAAAGAGACCCCCACAAGACATCTTGTACCATTGGGTGTGGATAGTATAGATCTTCCTAGAAATTGTATAAAAGCATCCCATGTAAGAATCAAAAACATATGCAAGTGAATTGTCATTAATAGATTTACCTGTACAACTAAAATTCGATGGAAAAATGCATGCGCATATATACATAGACGCAGGGAAAACGTGTTGTATTGTTTTTGGAGAGTTATAGGAAAGCAATCCAACAATTAACCATGTCTAGGACCCTAAAATCAAACTTGTACTTTCACAAATAGCTATCATATATTTCACTTGTGAGTCTGTGACTAACCCTATGAAAGATAAGAAAGTTCATTAAACTCACAGACACGGGACCTTTACACAGGGGAGCTGGAGGAAGCAGAGTATATTGAAAGCGCAGATGTTTCTTACCAACCTTTGCACATAGATTGCGAGCTTTATTCCAGTCAACTTCATGATAGGGGGCTGTATAAAGCTCCTTCCTCAATGACCGGATTGTGGGTGTGATAGGTCCAACAAACCTTTTCCCATACAAATATGACATGGGCAAATACACCATTCGGCAATGACACCACATTCTTCCTATAAGTGTAAAATTTGAAATTCATAAACCGTAAAGATTAGAACTTAGGCAGTTAACAGGGACAAGTCTATGGACATATTACTGCTAGTAAGACCTCTGTTATTTAATCAAGATTTTTAATGAAGGGAGGTTTGAATTTCTCTTATCCTGCCTAGAATGAACCTAAAGCATCGAAATAAAATGTGCACTAATGATGAGAGACCTGGATGAAATGGCAGAGAGTAAGGACATAGCCATACTTCAGGCGGAAGTGGATTATTCCCGGACCATTCATATGCCCCAAGTACCTATCATCATCAAAGATGCATGTCAACTAATATTTCTGAATGACTGCACTGTGGGAACAATCCAACAAGATAAACATTGAGTTCATACCGAAAGCCACATTTTGCCCCAAGAAGTAATTGCAGTCACGCCACCATGGTCTAATATCCATTTCCGTGCAAGTTCGATTGCCCCTTGTCCATCATCTGCACCTTCGCCAAGCAACCTCAAAGTAACATAATTTAGTGCAGTACCAAACATGGTACTTGGCCCCTCGATATGCAGACCCCATCCCCCATCTTCATTCTGCAAACACAATTCATCCGTAAATTTCTTATCTTATTATCAAACAGAGAGAAATTAACCTGAAATTCTATATGGAAAGGAAAGCGTTCTTAATAAAGTAAAAAATGAAAAACTATCATTTCATGAGAAACCATTCTTGCCTGGTGATTATAAAGATATCTGCACATCTCACGTTGATGCTCTTTCGATAACACAGCATTTAGAGCTCCAGTAATTGAAAGTGTAATGATCTGTTGCAATTGATGAGTAATACTTAGTCACCCAACAATTACCAACTGGACCAAATAATAAAGAATTTAATCATTTCAGTAAGAAGAAAGGATGTGAAGTTCCAAAATGACATGCAGCCATCTTTTGGAATGTCAAACTTATTGGATCTAACGGAGGACATGACACAAAACCGAGCGCAATGGCGTTCTAGGATTCATATAGCCGACCCCACTTAGTGGGAAAAGGCTTTGTTGTTGTTGTTGTTGTAGGGTACAAGCATTGATGGAAACACATAATGATTACTAGTTTTCACCCTTACCAAACCCGGGAGCAGAAACATGGGACCCCCATAATCCCCAGCCCAATGACCGTCATGCGCCTGGATTGTTGAATAAAAACTGAGAGCCCTTCGTAAAGTGGTTGCCACTGCCTCTTCCTTCACCTCTTCTTGATCTTTAACTTTGAGTTGCGGTAGATTAGTGGCACGTGGATTCTCCTTTGCAAACTACATTTCAGAAATAAGAACAAAACACATTCATTTAAAAAAGGAAAGTAGGGTTACAAAACATGGGTAATTAAACAACCCAAAACATGGGTAATTAAACAACCCAAATACTAACCTCAGAACTCATATGATTTGGCCTAAACTAACTAAAATTATTTGCTCATTTTGGCAGGGGATTAACAAAATAGGCATAATTGAGACTAATTGCAAGGATGGATAAAACACCCCGGCAGCTATAAGTTCTATACAAAAGCACTCCAAGAGCTCAGTTGGAGAACACGTACCCGAAAAACTTATCACTCGAAAGAAAAACATCATTCAAACTTACAATGCCTAATACTACACAAGAAGTCCTACAATGCAGCGTGAAAAACCTGACCACCTTGTTCAACAGCATTATCAAATTCAGCAGTTCTACTGATTTATACATAATTCGATGATCCAGAACATCGCAACGATAATTTAAACAGTTTACATACAAATTTCACTAAATAAATAAATACACTTTTCCCAGCCATATGCAGTATATTCAATTTCTGGAGGAAAAAAAAAAAAAAAAAGCAAAACCCAGGTGAAAAAGAACCTGAATTCTCATGAGGAGGTCGGAGCTGTGCCGCCTTTCGAAACGATTCTTCCAGAAA